TAATAATAGTAATAACAACAAAAATAATCATACTAGCAATAACAATACACATACACTTACACAGAATACTAGTAATAATCGTAGTAGTACGAATGATAGTAGTACTAGTAGTAACAATAATAGTAATAATACGAATAATAATAAGACTAGTGCATGTTATCATTACTCGAACCATCCCGCGCACTTCGCGCGCGCTCAAGCTCTAGCTAGGCTTGATAGGCTAACTCATGCCATCTCTTGTTGGTCGCTTATTCCGTCCAGGGACTCTCTTGGAGGCCCTGCGCAAGCCTCGAAATCACATAGAAGGGGAAACGCGGAAACGCAGAAATCATTACTTCCCTTTAAGTATTCAACGATTTGGGGCCCTTCAGAGCTCCATGGGTTATCTTTCCCAACCGTCCTGTAAGGTTGGGTCCTCGTTTTGCAGAGACAGCGCCCGCGTCCTCCTGCCTTCTCCTCCCGCTGCCTCCCCTCCCTCTCCCTCCTTGCCTCTGCCCCTTGCATGTCTCTGTTTCGGCACACCCCTCAAAGGGTTCGCGGCCCCACAGGACGCTCCACCGAAGGCCCCAGTGGCAGCGTTCGCATGCAATTCCACCCTCATTTCGGCGCACCCCTCACAGGGTTCGCGGCCCCATAGGGAGCTCCACCGAAGGCCCCAGTGGCAGCGTTCGCATGCAGTTCCACCCTCATTTCGGCGCACCTCTCACAGGGTTCGTGGCCCCATAGGGAGCTCCACCGAAGGGCCCCAGTGACAGCGCTCGCATGCAGTTCCACCCTCATGTCGGCGCACCCCTCACAGGGTTCGTGGCTCCATAGAGAGCTCCACCGAAGGCCCCAGTGGCAGCGTTCGCATGCAGTTTCACCCTCATTTCGGCGCACCCCTCACAAGGTTCGTCGTGGCCCCATAAGGAGCTCCACCGAAGGCCCGAGAGGAAGCGTTCGCATGCAGTTTCACCCTCATTTCGGCGCACCCCTCACAGGGTTCGCGGCCCCATAGGGAGCTCCACCGACGGCCCCAGTGGCAGCGTTCGCATGCAGTTCCACCCTCATTTCGACGCACCCCTCACAGGTTTTGTGGCTCCATAGGGAGCTCCATAGAAGGCCCCAGTGGCAGCGTTCGCATGCAGTTCTTCCCTCATTGCGGCGCACCCCTCACAGGGTTCGTGGCCCCATAGGGAGCTCCACCGAAGGCCCGAGAGGCAGCGTTCGCATGCAGTTCCACCCTCATTTCGGCGCACCCCTCACAGGGTTCGTGGCCCCATAGGGAGCTCCACCGAAGGCCCGAGAGGCAGCGTTCGCATGCAGTTCCACCCTCATGTCGGCGCACCCCTCAAAAGGTTCGTGGTCCCACAGGGAGCTCCATCGAAGACGGTACTCACAAGTGCGGCACTCACAACTGCATATGGTTGGGTCCTTCGACAGGCTAATTTGGTAGGTGAGGGGAGTCTGAATTGTGGTCTGTTGTCCAAGAGTAGACCGGGGGCCAAACTTGAAGAACACAGGAATTGTGGGATTTCCATGTTTTTCCAGTTCCTCCGCGCTGTTCGGCGCTGTCTGTTGTTCGTGCCTCGCGGGTTTTGCTGGCCGGGCCCCTCAGGTCTGTGGGATCTCCTGGACCCCCTGGGGGTTTGGGAGATCTCCTGGAGGCCTGGAGGGCCGTCGCGGGCTGCGCGCAGGTGTGTTGGGCCGCTCTTTACGTTGTTCTGGGAGCTCTTCGGGGTCGTCATGGGCTGTCCTTCGGCGACTTGGGGTTAAAACAAGGCTAGGATCGGGATAAATCGCTCCAGAGCGTTCCGGAGCGCTCTCAGAGCGTTCCGGAACGCTCTGGAGCGGCCGCGGCGCCCAATACATCCTCCAAACCCGCCGATTCTCAGAGATTTCGAGTTATCCCGATCCGATTTTGTCCCGATCTTCGCGTCGTTTTTAGGGTCTCCCCCCCGGAAGCTGGGAGGCGCGGTAGCGGCCAGATGTCAGGACCCCCGAGTAGGAGCCCCACTTTGAAAAGAAAGGGCGGATTCTGGGAATTCCATGTTTTTTTTAAGCCGATCTTCAAGGGTTGGAAGCGGGAAAACGTGAGAAGGCGAAAAAACAATAGAAAACCTATGGGACATCAGCGATTTTACCCTCTCTGGGCTCTCTCGGGACGGCTCTCGCAGCTCTCTTGGGCTGGTCTTGGAGCCTCGTCGGGGTGTTTCTGGGGACTCTTAGGGATCGGGGGTGTGTTGGAGGCCTCTGGGTGGTCCGGGAGGCCTTTCGGAGGTCTCTGGAAGCCTCCTGCTCCCGCTCTTGGCCCCATCTTGTGCCTGTTCTGGGGTGTTCTGGGGCTGTCCTGGGCGCCTCTTCGGCAGTCTTGGAAACTTCTTGGCCCGTCTTGGGGCCGTCCTGAGGGTCTCTTGGGTGGTCTTGGGGCGGTCTTGGGAGCTTCGTCGGCGCTCTTGGACCGCTGGAGGCTCGAAAACGCGAGAAGCCAAAAACATTGAAAAACAACTGAGAATCTACGATCTTGGCCTCTTCGGGCCGTCCCGGGACGCCTCTCGGACCTCTCTTGGGGTCTCTTGGAGGTTACCTGGGAGCCTCGATAGCCGTCGGAAGGCTGATTTGGGCTGCTTGGGAGCGTTTTGGACCATCCTTTCGCATTCTGGGGGCTCCTGGGAGGCGTCTCGGGCCCTTCTGGAGCGCTGTGGAGGCCCCCAGGAACGCCTGGGGGAGCGTTCCCGAGATGTCACGGGGAGGTGTGGCATCCGGGGCCGGGGGGGGCTCTATTGGGGTGCCTCTTAGTGCTTTTTCGGGGCCTCTTTTTGTGTTTTTGCGGGTCTCATGGGGGCCTGTTGGGGAGTGGGCGCCTCTTGTAACCTCTTGGGGGTCTCCTGGGGATCTCTTGGGCCAAAAGGCGCGGATTTCCGGTTCCTCGTCCCCGTCTTGGGCGCCGCCTTGGGGCGTTCTTGGGCGGTTAGGGCGCCTCGTGGGCCGTCTTGGCCCCCTCGTGGGCCGTCCTGGGACCCTCTTGGGGGCATCCTCGATCGTCTTGGGTGCCTCTTGGGGCTCTATTTTTGCTTATTTGGGGATTGGAGTGCCCCTTCGGGCGTGTTCGGGGACTCTGTTTGACTTTTTGCGGGTCTCTTGGGGACCTCTTTGGGCTTCTTGGGCATTTCTTCGAGCCTCTTGGGGTCTCCTGGGGGCCTCTTGGTCCAAATGGCTTGCATGTTCGGCTCCTCGTTACCGTCTTGGGCGCCGACTTGGGGCGGTGTTGAACGGTTTAGGCGTCTCGTGGGCCGTCTTGGCCCCCTCGTTGGCCGTCTCTTGGAGCCCTCTTGGGGGCATCCTCGACCGTCTTGGGTGCCTCTTGGGCCGTCTTGGACGCAGTGGAAGCCTAAAATGCGAACACGCCAAAAATATAAGTTTTCCTATCGGACATCGACGATGATTGCTTATTTGGGGCTCTATAGGGGGTGCCTCTTGGGAGCCTCCTGGGGGTTTCTTGGGGGCCTCTTGGGGCCTCTGGGAGGCCTCTTGGGGCCTCCTGGGGACCTCTTTGGGGCCTCCTGGGGGCCTCTGGGGCCGAAAGCTCGGCATTTGAATATGGTTGTGCACCTCTGGGACCCCTCTTGGGCTCGTCCTGGGGCTCTCTTGGGCTGTCTTGGGGGCCTCTCGGGCCGTCTTGGGACCCTCTTGGGGTCGTCTTGGATCCCTCTCGGGAGCCTGTGGGGCAGTCTTGGGGGCCTCTTGGGCCGTCTTGGACGCAGTGGAAGCCCAAAAGGCGAACACGCCACAAATATAAGTTTTCTGACGGGAAATCGACGATCTTTGCTTATAGCGGCGTGTTCGGGGACGCTGTTTGAGTTTTTGCTTGTCTTTGGGGGACCTCTTGGGGCTTCTTGGGCGCTTCTTGGAGCCTCTTGGGGTCTCCCGGGGGCCTCTTGGGCCAAACAGCTCGCATGTTCGGTTCCTCGTCCCCGTCTTGGGCGCCGACTTGGGGCGGTGTTGAATTGTTTAGGCGTCTCGTGGGCCATCTTGGCCCCCTCGTGGGCCGTCTTGGAGCCCTCTTGGGGGCATCCTCGACCGTCTTGGGTGCCTCTTGGGCCGTCTTGGACGCAGCGGAAGCCCAAAATGCGAACACGCCAAAAATATAAGCCTCCTGGGGGTCTCTTGGGGGCCTCTTGGGGCCGCTGGGAGGCCTCTTGGGGCCTCCTGGGGACCTCTTGGGGCCTGCTGGGGGCCTCTGGGGCCGAAAGCTCGGAATTTGAATATGGTTGTGCACCTCTGGGACCTCTCTGGGGCTCGTCCTGGGGCTCTCTTGGGCTGTCTTGGGGGCCTCTCGGGCCGTCTTCGGACCCTCTTGGGGTCGTGTTGGGGCCCTCTTGGGAGCCTGTGGGGCAGTCTTGGGGGCCACTTGGGCCGTGGAAGCCCAAAAGGCGAACACGCCAGAAATATCAGGTTTCCGATCGGACATCGACGATGTTTGCTTATTTGGCGCTCTATGGTGGGTGCCTCTTGGGGCGTCTTCGGGGCCTTCGGGGGCCTCCTTGGCGTCACGGGAGTCGTCTTGAAAGGCGTCTGGAGCCATCGCTGCTGCCTTCTAGGGCCTCCCTGCAGCCTCTTGGGGCCCTGTTGGGCCCTGGACCTCTCCTGGGGTGCGTTCTGGCCAGAATTTCGAGGCGAATCCAGCGGCGGCGACGAGGACCTCCCAGGAGGCCGAAAAAAGGGAAAACGGCCGAAGGGCAGAGGTATGGGTACCTTTTCCTCCTCTGAGGGACTCGCAGATATCGGCTCGCCAAAGGCCTTGGTGCCGCGCGCGCCAGTTCCGACCAGCGGAAGAAAAACAACGGCGGCCTCGACCGCCTCCATGAAGAGGCGATCGCGCAACACCGAGGGTGGTCGCGCTACCCCGACACGGCTGTACACAGAGCCGGTGTCGCGCACACGGCCCGAGGGTGAGGCAACGCAGCTCCTCGCGAGAGAGCGTGCGCTCCTCGAATTCGCGATTCCAATCCCGGCCTTCTTCAGCAAGTTCTCCTCCTACTCCTCGTAGTCTTCCTTCTCCTTCTCCTCCTACTCCTCTGCAAGCTCCTCGGACCTCTACTCGAGCGCGCGTTGACCAGGCTCTCGGCGGCAACCCAGCCGTGGCGTGACGAGTTCCATCCAGGATGCACGAGAAACCTCGAACTCCCTCGAAAGCTTCTCCTCCTCCTCCTACTCCTCCTCTTCCTTCTACTCCTCCTCGCCCCTCCTCCTCCTCCTCCTCCTCCTCCTCCTCCGACTCCTCCTCGCCCCTCCTCCTCCTCCTCCTCCTCCTCCTGGCCCCTCCTCCTCCTCCTCCTCCTCCTCCTCCTCCTCCTCCTCCTCCTCCTCCTCCTCCTCCCTCCTCCTGGGCCTCCCGTTCTGGCCAGACTCTGGAGGACACCGTCGGGCCAGGGCGACGAAGAGCCCCCGGAGGCCCACGACGGGCAGAAGACGCCGATCCCCAACTCTTCGGTGGCAACTCATGGGAGCCTCCCGTACCATCTTGTCGGCTCTTGCGAATCGACGCTAATCGACTCTAGTCGACGCTTATCGACGCTAATCGACTCTAGTCGACGCTAATCGACGCTGAATCGGCGTTCTCTCATCGACCCCCAGACGCTAGTCGACGCTAGCCGACGCTAAAGACGGAATTGAAAGGGTACACCAGGCTCCCATGACTTGCTACCGAACAACTCGATGTCGCCACCCAGCTGGCAAGTCCACCGCCGCCCTCGGGCCGGGCGAAAGGGGGGGAAAGCAAAGGGGGGGTTTGAGAATCACCTCAGGCAGCTGATTTTCCCGGCGCCTCCCGGCGCCGGAGGCGGCCGTGTATCGAGGAGTGGGCCCCTCGGTGGGGCCGAAACCAGCTGCATGCGGCTGATTTCGTACCCCCCCCTTTCCCATTGCCCCCCTTTCGTCCGGCCCGACACCCTCTGGCAGGCCAGCGGGAGGTGTTCAAACGGGGCGAGCGGTGATCGTCTATCGAGAAGAAACGATCGAAGAGTGGAGCCTGTTCAGTGGGATGAGGGGAACCGCCGATCCGTGGACGATTGTCACTTCTGCTTCGCTACGTCGGATCTCAGGGAACGGCGATGAGGAGGGAGTGGGAAACAAGGGGGCGGGAGGCGCGGGAGCGGGGGCGAACGACGAGGAGGGGATGGGAGGATGAGAGGAAGTGGAGGAGAAGAGGGACGAGGAGGAGGAGGAGGAGGAGGAGCAGGAGGAGCCTCGAAGCGCCGCTGGTTCTCCGACCGCGCGCCGGAGGCCGCGGGCGCCGCAGAGCACGGGCAGGGCCGGCGACCAGGTGCCTCGCCGCGGCGTCCTGCGCACGGGCACGCAGCCGATGCGAGTCGCCGTCGCTCTCCCCCAGGGCCAAGACGCTTACTATAATGGGGGGGCGATGAATTTGAGGGGTAGGAAGAAGGGTGCACCTCTCGTGCACCCTTCGTACCCCTCCAGGGCCCGAGGGGGCCCCTCTAGGGCCCCCTTCGCGCAACCCTCGGCAACCCCCCATTTATCGCCCCCCCATTCCCGAACGCCCGACAGGAGTCCGCGCTGGGCCCAGTCCAGCACCACCATGAGTTGGAGGGGCGAAAGAGGTGGAGGATGAGGAGGAGGATGAGGGGGAGGAAGAGGAGGAGGAGGAGGGGGAGGAAGAGGAGGAGGAGGCGGAGGCGGATGCGGAGGAGGAAGAGGAGGAGAAGTGCCCCCATCCCCCTCCGACTCATGGCGGCGGTGGCGGCGGGAATAACAAGCCCCTCGAGGAGTCCGCGCCGGGCCCCGCCGGCGGCGCGAGGGAAGCCCGCGCCGCCCGGCCCGCGCAGCCGCAGGGGGGCCCCGCGCACCCGGACGGCCAGAGGCGGCCTGCCCTCGGGCGGCCTGCCCCGCGGGCGAGGCCCCGGGCACGGGGCGCGCTCGCCCGATGGCCCGCTCGCCGCCGCCCTCGACGTGCAAGGCGGGCGTGGCACTCTGCGGGAGGATGCACTCACGCATGGAAGCGTTGCGTCAGCTGGGGGCTCCTGCACCGTCGACAGTCAGGGGGGCGTAAGACCTGGGTACAGGGGACTCGGAAATCCCCGACGAGGTCGTCAAAAAAATGACGAGGCCGAGCCTGCATTTTGACGAGGCCTCCCGCTGCAGACATCCCACGAAACTCCTCCTCGTCAAAATCCGAGGCGCGGTCGTCAAAAAACGATGGCGAACCCGAGTCCTGGCAAACCCGGGTCTTACGCTCCCCCGAGACAGGAGGAGTGTTCAAACCTGGTCAAAAAAAACAACTCTCCGGGGGCGATGTCTCTGCCAGCTAGTCTTCCCATCTGGGGATCTGTGTGGACGGTTGCTTCGTTTTCCTCCGTCCAGAATCCGCGCGCAGAGGAGGACGTGCCCGACCTGACCTTCACAGCAGCGCCTGCGGGCGAGCGAGCCGAGCGAGCGCTGCGCCAACAATCCTCAAAAGGGGGCCTGGAGCGCGCCGAGGCAGCCGGCCCGCGCGCCCCGCCC